GCTACTGTACCGTCCTTAACAGCGACTCTTCTCCTACACAAAAATTACTTGAAGTGCAATGACACGTTTAAAATTTTAAAAAAAAGGTAGCGAGAGGAAGTGAATGTTTATTCACTGTACCACTTCAAAGAAAAATGTCTGTTACGAGGAGATGGGATTGAACTAACTGACACAAGCCCACGATATACTTTCAAGTTCTCAATTCAGCATAGGCTCACGTTATGCGGAAATTGCTGACTATAATGTTAACAACATTTTCACTCACATTTACAAGCTGGCAGCTCCCCTGCTGTTTTCATGTTTTATCACTGATGTCATATTCTCCTTTTAGTCAGAGGTAAGTGAGACAAGTGCACCCTCTTCCATATACTCCATTACTGGCACAGCATGCAACCAGGTAGCACAAACATATATTTTTCTGGGTCAGAGTAGAGATGAGGGATGGGGTTTGGAGCTTTAGGAAAGGTCCATACAGATGCTTTCACTGGTGCCAAACCCCAACCCTGTGTTACTTTAGCCTAAACTGAGTAACCTTTCCCTGATGGTAATCACAACCAAACTGACCTTGTTCTTGCCTCAGGGAAGCTGTGTTTTAAAAATGCAGCATCTGAGCTGCTTAATGACCTGCTGTATTTTTCCTCTGTTATGCAAACTAATGCAGCAAGGTGCTCCCACAGTCTAATCAGATCCTCAGTTCTTTGGGGGAAACCTGTGGTGAAGGCTTGAAGCTCCTGTCCTGAGTTAGTGTTCATAAGAAAACAGACACATAGCAATGGAATATATCAAAAGTGAATTTGTTTTAGTCTCAGTTTTGTTAGCTGTGGTATTAATTCAAATCAGTGACACAGTGAATCCAGAACAAAGAATCAAATGTTGTTCCAAATATCAAATACACTGCTATGATGGTGTGACTGTAGTTTGTCCTTGTGATAATGTAAATTTGGGGGAAAAACAAGAGAAACAAATCCATTAGACCTTACAGCATCATTATATTTCCCCATAAGTTATATACATTTTATAGTCAGATCTGCTTTTTGTCCTTTAATAGCAATATATCTCTAATATAAAATGTATTTAGAGGCCAAAGATTTCAGTGGTGATCCAAATAAAGGATGTTTGTCATGGCGCAATTACTGTATCTCAGCCAAAGCTACAACAATGATCTAAAACTGGGTCATGTAAAGTTTTATTTACAGCAGCAGAGCATGATTCAGCAAGTCAAGGAAGCTTGTACAGGGTCAAGTATTCCACTAGATGGTGCTACAGTCTCTCTTTATTTGACCAGGGGCTGCACGATGCACCATCTTCTCCTTCTCTCTAATGTAATCAGGGATGCTTATAATAGAATTTCTGCCTGAGAAATTGCTTCATCTAATAAAATAAGTTCTCCAAATGAAAAGTATATGTTCAGTAGACAAATACGCAACATAGCCATGCACAATCACTAGGTGATTCACTTATAAGAGAAAAATATTTAACAAGTCTTCCAACCTAATCGTCTAAATATCCTCTGATATGACCCACAGGAGCGTCTCCCTATGGTAGCAGGCATACTGGACCTTTGTCATTATGGCTACAATAAAAAAAAACGTGTAATAATTGTTGTGTAACAGTCATGGTTAAAAAAAAAAAAAAAAGCAACTATTGGTTTGAAACTAAAAGCAATCTCCTGTGTTTTCTCGACCCCTCCATCCACTCTGACCTCCTCACTCTCTAGACTACCTCGCCTGTCTTCCACCTCTGCTCACAGCACAACTACTACAACCACAAGAGAGCCCCAGACAATAACACATACTATGGGTCATTGGCTGCGTGCACAGACAGTTATCTTTGTTTAAGAGATGACAGATTCAAATATTAAAACCACAAATCTGGACAAACACGATGTCGTACATTGTGATTCCCCTAATGTCGTTGTAGGACAAATCTGAATGGTTGCACGACAATAACCAAAATAGGAAATAATAAAACATTCTGCTGCAAAAATTTGTTTTTTCTCTATTTTTGCATTTTTATTGTGAAATACTGGACAATTTACCTTCCACAGGCATCTAAACATCACACACCCAGAGTCAAGGAGTGGTGAGCAGATGTGTCGTTAAAGCCAGGAAGTTTGGATACCATCAGCCTATAGATCGGTGGCTGGGCAATATGGCTGAAATCAATCATGAAGTACTGTATTAACAATGTACTGTAGGCAACAACTTGTCACATTTAAATACAGTCAAGAAAGCAACCTTGACACAAGTCTAAACTTGAGTGTTACATGTCCATGTCTCTGATTTGACACATTTTGACAAAAATGAATGAACACACATATCAGTATGTCAACACACTCTCCTGAAGAGTCTGGACCATATGGGTAATGCATGGCATCCATTTTAGTTTTCCTTGTGCATTTCCATTTCCATTCTCTTCCCATTTTGGCATTGATGTTTTGGTGCATCTGGGTGTTTGAAACAGTGAGATGGCCAGTGGACTGCAGCGGTTTAAGAAAACCAAAGTTTATGTACTTCCCTTTGGATGTGCTGTAACCACAGTGAGTTCCAAATGACCTCACAGTGGTGGAGTAATTAAGATCAAGTTTGCATGTTTCTTAATGCTATAATATGCAAGGTTACAGGACTATTTTTTTCCTAATTGAGAACCTCACCAAAATGCTTATCTTTTGTTTACTGTATAAATCAAACTAATTTAAATGATCAGTGATTAACTGAGCCTTTAACAACTAATTCATCCTCTAAACATGAAGTGAGTTATAGCTTCCTGTTAGAGGTACAGAGACTACTTGCCAAGGGATCCAGTAATTGGTTGGTGTTTATGGTGTGATATCCACAAAACAAAGATATCAATAACCCCTAATACATCTGATCCCACAAGTGTTTTTGTGCAGCTAAGTCTTCAATAGGAGACACATCAAATGAAAGATCACAATAAGTGGTTGGAGATGGATAATGCTGACAGATAGCTTTTTGCCAGGTAATAAAATGCCCCACCGTGGATGAGCCAGGGACCTCAGAGCTTAAGCCTCTCTCTGTTGCTGATTTAAGCAGGAAATACAACATTAGGTGCTGTCACTGGAAACGTAAAAACTGACTGCTGCTTCCACTGCAGCTTTAATCAGTAATAATCAATCACATCATAAAGCTATAATACTATTTAATGGTATGGTTAATTGGCTCTTTTATGTAATATGCTTTGGGCAAAGCAATTCTGGCTTTTCATTAAATGTTAACATGCAATAGCATCACTTCATAAATCCATTGACTTTTTAAATGTGAATAAAGATTTCATTGACATCTAACAGCCACTTTAACAAACCCAATACTGTATGTAGTATAGCAAATACATGGCAGGCACTCAGTTCTGGCTCTACAGACAGATACTGACATATTGGCCTAATAGCCCAGTGCAGTTACAAGGGGCCTCCCAGAGATCTGCAAACGCTTCATTAGAGAAGACAAAGTACCACGTGGTTAACAATACAACAGAATATAAGTGGCACAAGAAAAATCTCCACTGGGACAGTTTAAGAGCTGCTCGATGTCACGCTTTTATCATAGTGACAAGGCTACAAAAAGATTTCTCATCTTTGCATCATTCTCAACACAACGAATAAATAAAAAACATCTTTAATGCTCGCCTTTTACATAAGACGGGTAGAGCGACTTGAATTACATCTAGTCAGCTGAGTTTTTATTATGATGCTAATGTAATCCACTTGGCTCTGATGACTGGTTAATCAGTCATGCTCCAATCACTTAGATTTGCTGGCAAACTCTGTCATTTAGATTCTTTTCCTTTATATGGGTGATTCATATACAGTATTTTCCCCTAAGCCTGGGGGGGAAATCAATAATGCTTATTAAAAAAACACCAATGCTTATAAAACATAATATTCTTTTCAGATCTTTTACATTACAAAAGAAATTATATGATACAATCACTATCACTGCATTATTTCAGAGGGAAGAGGTTAATTACTTATTTCAAACTACACAATATCAATTTGGTGAATGGGTACTTTCCTCAGGCCAAATTGAAACAACCAGCCTTACATCTGAGTCAGCTGCATGCTCAGCAGTCTTGTGGTGATCCCTCTCTGATCAGACTGTTGTCCCTAATGAGGTTTTTATTCGGTGATATACATGTCTTTCTAAAACGGTGCTCCAATGAACCTGTGCTTGAACTTGATATAACTGCACTGCTCCTCTAAGTCTTTGGTTTTTACACATGAGGATGCTGGTGCTGCTTGGGGGCAGCAGAGCGGCCTAAGGTGAGGTATAAAGAAGAAAGAAGATACATAATTAAACAAAAGGTGGTTTGGCATTAGACAGACTGGTGAGCTGTCCACTGTGTGCCTCGCCTCCCTCCCAGTGTCACCTGGGATAGGCTCCCCCCGTGAACATGTTCAGGAATAAGTGGTATAGATAATGGATGGATGGTTTGGCATTAAAAAGGCCTTGATCCATAGACAGGAGGCAGCAGATTTGACGTCATTGTATAAACAGTTTTTTCAAAGCACAGTTTCTTCCTACAGCTCAGCAGAGGCGACATGCCATCCAGGTCCTGAAACATCCTCTTTTGATCCCTTTTAGCTCACAGATCACAGACACACTCATCAACTGTTTTTGTACATAGTGAAGAGCTGAGCTGAGATGGCAAAACAAATGTTTATAAGGCCTTCAGTGAGACAGTCTCTTAAAAACAGGCAATGTAGCTGGTCCATATACTTCAAATCTGTTGTTCTCCTTCAGGTTATATAAATATAACCTATTATAAACGATTTTCCACAATGTTAATAAGTGAGCTTTAACCAGCCACAGTGTTCTTATGTAACTTGCTGGCTGTTGGCAAATGCGTGTTTTTAACACCATCTTAGCAGTTTGGTGTAAATTGATGCTGTTAATTGTTTTTTTATGGTAATCTGATGACGTCACGCCCTCCTGCGTTGCATCCCAGATTTCCATCAGAGTCTGAGACCAGTCCGGATCAAGCGCCTTGTTTTGTCCTTCCACCTGCTTAAACGGAATGTATTTTTCCAGCTTTGGGGATGTATAATTTAAACACACTCTCAGTCCGGCGAGTGCTATGATGGTCAATCAAAGTTAAACAAACACCTTGGTTCAGTTGAACTGATTGGTTTATGGTTTTTCTGTGATTTCTAAGTTTTGCCGTCAAACCCTCTGACGGCTCCTGTGCCGGATCAAACATATCCTCGCTGTCTTGTGTGAAAGAGCAGCGGACAAACGGAGGAGTTGACTGGATCGGAGTGAAGTGGAAATGGTCCAACAGCGCGCTGTTTTCTGTCTCGCTTGTCTTTTTGAGGCGTCCAAAACTCCGACAGGTCTGCACGATGTGGTTTTAGCAGTGTGTTGGGATTCTCACTGTTGAATCTACAGGATGCATCATCACTTGAAGCCACATGATGTGCAAACCGAAGAAAAGCGGATCTGTCTGACGAGTTGTCTCCCCGAAACACCTCTTTAAACCTTTAGGCACCAAATATCCTACAGCGCAATGATTTTAACAACTTTAGTGATTATATTCTCGTTCCCGGGTAAGTAACGCCTTCATGTTTGATTTCTAAAGTGTCTAGACTGTAATATATGCTAACACTTTAAAACTGTACCAGTTCATTTACAGTTCAACTGAATAAATGCAGCAGACAGTGGGGAAAAGGGCACTTCCCTCAACGCATGGCAACAAATGTTGATTCATTTCAATTGTTGTGAACGTTGAGGCGCCATTGTGGACATTCAGGGGTCCGAAACCTTGCCTAGTGCTTTGTGCATCACTGTGTCTCATTTGGCAAAATTAAAGGGCTCCCCACAATCTTTCCTGACTAACTTCTTGTAACTCCCAGACTCCGTGTTCACCTTGAAGGGTGGCATCAGCTCAGCCTCCCGTCCCGTCCACCTGGACTGCGTAAAGGCCAGTGAACAATGTCTGAAGGAGTACTCCTGCAGCACCAAGTACCGGACGATGAGGCAGTGTGTGGCGGGGAGAGAGAGCAACTTCAGTGCGGTCGCTGGTCCTGAGGCGCAGGGCGAGTGCCGCAGCGCAATAGACGCCGTGAAGCAGAGCCCGCTGAACAACTGCAGGTGTAGGAGAGGCATGAAGAAGGAGAAGAACTGTCTGCGGATCTTTTGGAGCATATTTCAGAGCTTACAGGGTATGCAGTAATTCGGTGCAAATCATTCATTATTATTTGATTAATACGCTCACTATATAGAACAATCTGTTTCTAAAAAAGTAATCCGTTTAAATATAAAAATATTCTCACATTAGTATGGACTTATCTTTAGCAAAACGTATTCAAAGTATAAAAATCAAACATACAATAGTTATTATGCAGGCAGAATCGCCCCCAGTTACTGTTATACAATGGTTTTACATCAAAATGCATCAAAATGGAGCCATTTTAATTTAATCGGCAATAATGCATTATTTTATCAGCTCAAATACTTTTTGTTGCTGAAATCCGAACCTACAAAGAAATGGCTGTTAGATAAATGCAGTGGAGTAAAAAGAATGTTTGCATCTAAAATATAGAGGAGGAAAACTGTGAAAGTACAAGGATCTCAAATTAGTACTTCTGCCAATCACAGGTACTTCCTACCACTTGACACATACTCCTCTTACTGTAAATCCTGGGCTGCATAAAGTAGGTCTGTTTATTAAGTCAAGCTAGAAACATGAACATACACATACACGCACACACACACACACACACACACACATATAAAATTTCAACACAGGTCTTGTTTTTCCCCTGCAGGTAATGATTTGCTGGAATACTCTCCATATGAACCAGTCAATAGCCGGCTCTCAGATATCTTCCGCCTGGCTCCCATCATAGCTGGTAAGATGCTCTCTTTACATCTGACATTCCTCAGGTTTGAGTTTGGACACGGTGCAAAGTCGCTTTACATACCACTGTTGTTTCGTACTTAACCTGCTTTAAACCTAGGTTAAGTCACCACGTTGCCGCTACACATCTGTCATCATTTGACAACCACGCTTTCCCACTGCTGTCTGGTTTCAGGCTGTAGCTTTCAGTGCCCATTATCCATCACAAAAGCTTTTATCGGCCACTGTGACACAGCGTACACAAAGCAGTCATTTAGTATATTTTGCTTTCAGCTCTCAAAGCAGTGGTGAGAGGTTTGCATGCTTTTGCATTGTCAAAGCAATGGAAGCAGCATTTATTTTCTAGTTTTGAATTAATCATCCTTTTTAGAGTAGATGCTGTGTTGTTTGAACTCCAGGAACCCACTGGGGCAGAACACCATGGGTTGAAAAGAAGAAAAACAGAAATGGTTTGCTACTATAAATCTAAATGCTAGACGTGTCTTCAAATGTCAGTGGAATGCAAGTTGACTTGGGAGCGTGCACCCAGGGCGGCCCATATTTAGATGTGCTGAGATCACAGACACATACGCACACACAAACACAAGCAATTAACCATCTGTCTGCATTCAATGGCACTGATAGAACAAGAACTGAGTGTGTGTATGCAAGCGCAACACACTCCCTGGCACTCTTCACTGTTTTCTGGCTGGAGGAGGGTGTCCGCTGCACTGGCCAGCTACCATTTCACTGAAAAAAATAGTTATTTGATTCTCTCTCTCCCTCCCTGACTCTCTCTCTCTCTCACTGGCTCTTGCTGTAATTAAATCCACTTAGTGTATCACAGTGGCTCTGCTTCACATTCGATGATATAATGGTGAACTGTATTTCAAACAAACTGAGTCAATAAAATAATTTTGCATGAAATCAAAAATGGAAAAGTGGCAAAAAATTTGTGAGCCTTTCAGATGACTGGACAACTGGTAAAACAGAAAGCAATCATCAAGAAAAAGCAGCTGGAAATGTTCAGGTGTTTAACTAAAAAAAACACCTGAAGAACCCCACTGAATAAATGGGAAATGTTTAATTCATGACCAAGATATATTTTAAAATCTAGTTTGCAGTTAATGTACTTTTCTGTCAAAGTTAATGTCTTGGACTATGGAGGGCTGGCAGCTTAGCTTGTGTTTTCTATCATTAATAGGTGCTATTATGTGAGCAAGATAAATTAGGTTGCGAGATGGAGGTGGAGCTCAGTAGCCAGTTTAATGTGTTTCAATAGTCAAAGGGGACCTCTAGGGAAAAATAAGTCCGTTGATGGTTCAATATCAGGAATCCATTTGCCATAACTGATCTCATTCTTGTGTACAAGCCAGACAGAGCAGTGTTTTGAGCTAAATGCTATCTGAGGTTAAGGCTGCGTTGGAAGCCAAAATCAGAACTGAAAATTAAATTCAATTAAACCTCAAGGCCCTGTCTGAGGTACCAAATTTCACTGCAGTCCATCCAGAATTTGAGCCATGCAACTATGAACAACATTCTAACCTCATGGTAGTGCTAGAGGAAAAATCTGGGGATCAGTAAGTACCAGTTCACAGGGAAAATGAGGGAATCAGTAAAATCAATTGGATTCATCCCCTGTGACCAGGAATATGCATTCTGACCTTCGTTGTCATGTTGATGTACCAAAGTGCTGTACCATTCCTATTGATACAATTTCCAGTCCTTGCAAACTCTTGCACTCAATCCCTTACAGGTGACATCACTAAAGTCTTTCAGGGCTCAGTGCTTGAGACCTTAGGGAGGACATTGGAATTGGGCCTATGGCCCTAAAAATGTGGAAATGTGCAGAAAATCTGGGTATTTTTTATAGCTGGAATCTGGAAGCATGACAATTTTTCTCAGAGTATGCACCACTGAGCAACATAGGAATGAATAGGTACCATCTAGCGGTGCTGTGCCCAGTTTTCCCTTAATACATCCATGGGTTTTACTGAATATTAAAAACACTAGAAATGTGGAGGCTGTGACCAACAAACACCCGACTTTCATGCAGACAACAGGAAATCAAGTCCCCTGTCCGATGTTATTTTTCATCTGAGAATGATGAATTTAACTGAACCTTTCCATAACAATGTTGTTGCTGTGCCTAAACTTAACCAAAGGGAATGTTAGTCTTTATAGAATTATAGAAGAGTTACTGTCAGACTAGTACATTTTTATGTCGCAGACCTACATACTGTAGCTATTCTACATTTTGCTGAAAGACTGGGTTGCTTCAAAAGTTTTCAAAAAGCCCTCCAGCCAGTTCCTCACTTTACATGTAAGCAGAGATTCTCACTTGTACTCTCCCTGCCACTCTGCACCCAGTATCTCTCAGTATCAGCCCTGGATCAGCTTGTTCATCTGTGCTGTCAGCTTCCATTGCTGTTCAGAAATTATTAAAAACATCAGTGAAACACACCACTGCACTGGGTGACATATTTCTTCATTAGCAAATGCCAGACCTTAACATGAGTAGTTAGCGCAATGTAAACAAAGCTGAGAGCTCTCGCAGTTCACTCTGACTTGCGCTAGCTTCAGGAAACTATGGCCACTCAGAGCCTTTGAGGCAACATAATTGGATCTGGGGATTCGTAATGAATAAATGTGTCACCCAGTGCAGTGGTGTGTTTCCCTGATGTGTTTTAAATTGTTTTTGAACAACAACAGAGATCTATTGCACAGACGAACAAGCTAAGCCAGGACTGACAGGCTCCATGAAGCAGCTTGGAGAGCAGAAATTCCTCACCAAGATAAGTGTACCAAATGGCTTAGTCATGACAAGTTGTGTGCAGGGAGCAAAGTGGATACAGGACTATGAGTGACACAGGAAATGGCCAATCATAATTTTGAGATAAGAAAATCAAAGTGTCACTCAGATGTCACAGGTGACACAAGAGAGATTAACATTTTCACTTAGGCATGAAATTATTTGATGCCCTGCACTCACACACCTTATGTATACAAACACAATCATTCATACTGTGTGCACTACTGCTCCAGAAACCCTTATCTATCTGCAAATCACCCTCCACACATTTTATACTTCTGCCAAATTGATATACAGGTGCATAAACGAACAAGTTCATGGCAACTTCTAATGCTTCAAAGTAGGAATCTACAGTAGACGGAAGGATAATAAGAAAAAAGTCCTCTATAGTATTAACATTTGGCAATTCCAGATGGTGATACAGCAAAATGATATATTTTTTTAATTGGCCAAGCTGAAAATTACTCCTTTGATCTGAAACTTACTTTCCAAAAATGAGAAGGCTTAAATGCGTCTGGGCATCCACACATCTGACTCACTCACTGCTGTCTGTGCACTGAGTGAGTCAGATGTGTCACTGCAGTCAAAGTCGTGCCATATGACCAGTCGCCTTACAGTACTCTACCTCATCTCCATAAGGGGCAGATCAGGGAGGAAATGCTTTTAACATTGTGTCCTAACAACCTGAGACCTTTAAAGGGTAGTGTGGCTTTACTTGTCAAATCAAATCAAATCAAATTTTATTTGTATAGCGCCAAATCACAACAAAAGCCATCTCAGGACCCTTTACAAAGTAAGGTCTAGACCTTACTGTTATCAATATTATTACATAGGGAAAACCCAACAAATCCCCCTTGAGCAATTACTTGGCGACAGTGGGGAGGAAAAACTCCCTTTAATGGAAGAAACCTCCGACAGACCCCGGCTCTTGGTGGGCGGCCTTCTGCCTCGACCGGTTGGGGTGAGTGGATAGAGGAGAGACAAAAGAAGAAAAGCAACACGACACAACAATCAAACACTGATCAGGTCGATGTGGCTGGTGACTGCTAATCAGAGACATAGAGCTCCAGGGCCAGGGCAACCTGCAGAAAGGTACAGGGAGAGGGAGAGGACACACTACGGGAGAGAGGAGACACAAAGTTAGT